CCCGAGCCTGGTAATCATGTAAAATGCCTTGCACAGTGTTCCTATTATTATTGATGTTTATTATTAATAATTGGAAAAATAAGATGGAGGGAGATAAGGAGAAAGTGGGGAGCAATTCAGATAGAAGAAAGATACAGATTATCCACAAACATGAGACTGACTTTTAGGAGTTTACTTCAGAATTATGAAATATTTAATCCATAATAGAGAATATATATAAGGCATAAAAAATAATAAAATGAAATTTGTATATATGCCAGTTTAAGGGAAAATTTATAAAGGATCATATTTAAAGCTTTTAAAATGACTCTTTTCCTGATCCCATATCTTTTGTAAAAAATATTATAAAGGGAAATAAATAATAATCTCTAATTGTAATATTTCTAATTCAATTATCCAGAGATAAGCTTTTTAGGCACATGGGAAGGTGGGTTATATCTTTCTAGTCTGAAGGATTCATTCAAAATCTGCTTAGTCAAACCCTTCTTCTGTGACCTGCTCTATGGTGTGTGGTACCTGGGTTTGTGGCATATGATCTCTGACATATCTCTTGTAAAAGTCTCAGTCAAAACCGGTTGTTTTGATCGTATTTGGTGTATCACTGGGTCACAGTTCGCCGTTTCATTGATTGGCCTGTTACCCCCGCACTAAGCATCAGTAGATCCTTCTGAACTGGGCATTTGCTTCCATCATGATTTTTACAGTTCTTATTGCACATACGGGGGCAATGCAGGTAAAGTCAGTGGAGGAAGCAGGTCTTTCCATTGATGGGTTCACGTCCTGCACAGCACAGACAAAACCAGACATAGAAAGTCAAGCTGAAGGCAATAAGCAGTATGTGACTTTGAGTCCAGGATGGCGGTTCACGTGTGCATCGGGCCACTCGGGGGATGGAAGCTGAAGGACAGATGGAGATGTCAGGCCCTCTGGTGGTAGGGAAATGAATCTTGCGAGCACGCTGATGGGATGGGAGCCTGGCTGTTTTTGCTTTCAGATGTCAAGCCTTCTAATGTGCTCATTAATGCTCTGGGCCAAGTGAAGATGTGCGACTTTGGAATCAGTGGCTACCTGGTGGACTCTGTCGCTAAAACAATTGACGCAGGTTGCAAACCGTACATGGCCGTAAGTACCTTCCCCGGGGGTGGCCCCTGGAAGGGCAGCTGCCCACAAAGCCTGCTGGGAAGCAGAAAATGGATGGGCACCGAGGGGAGAGGGAAGTGTGCCTGAGGCTCTCGAAATCGCTGCAGCTAATATTTCCTGTCTGCAATCTTTAGTCACTTGCTTGTTTTAGTCTGTTCTGGCTGCCAGTATCTTGTTTTAGTCTGTTCTGGCTGCCATAACAGTATCACGTAAACCAGGTGGCTTATAAACAACAGAAATTTATTTCTCATAGTTTGGGAGGCTGGGAAGAACAAGATCAAGGTATCCACAGATTCAGTGTGTGGTGAGGGTCTGCTTGTTTAGGTTCATGGATGGGGCCTTCCTGCCGTGTCCTCTCGTGGTGAAAGGGCTGAAGGACAGATGGAGATGTCCTATCATAAGGGTACCAGTGCATAGATGAGCATTTTCCCCTCCCGACCTTGTCACAAAATCCCCTTCTAACACCATCACATGTGTGATTAGGTTTTGTTTGCTTGTTTTTATTTTTGAGACCGAGTCACAGCTCACAGCAACCTCAAACACTTGGGCTTAAGTGATTGTCTTGCCTCAGCCTCTCAAGTAGCTGGGGCTACAGGCACCCGCCACAGCACCTGGCTATTTTTTGCTGCAGTTGTCATTGTTGTTTAGCTGGCCCGGGCTGGGTTTGAACCTGCCAGCCTCTGTGTATGTGGCCGGCACCCTACTCACTGAGCCACGGGTGCTGCCTGTGATTAGGTTTTAATATCCGAGTTTTGAGAGAGACCCAACCATTCAGACCATCACACACACACATACATATATATTACTTTTAACAATTCAAGTAAAAGAGATACATTATTTTAAATAACATATAAGCAATACATATAGTCTGCACAATTTTCATGCAGAGTTGCAGGTGAGCATTCCCTTGTTTTCTGAGAATAGAGTAGGAAGTAGAATTTATCATTTATTTGTTTATTTATTTTTTGAGACAGAGTCTTACTCTGTCACCCTTGGTAGAGTGCTGTGGCATCATAGCTTAGAGCAACCTCGAACTTGAGCTCAAGTCATCCTCTTGCTTCAGCCTCCCAAGGAGGTAGAACTACATGCTCCCACTACAATGCCCGGCTAGTTTTTCTAATAAGTAGAATTTAAATTCCTAAGCAAGGCAGTTCAGTTAGTCTTGAGAGAACCTCACCCAGCTGTGAAGATTCATAGCCATTAGCAGAACCCTTGGGATCCTCTTTAACTGAAAGAACTTAACACTGTATTCTACTTGGAAATGGACTTGTACTTGGAATTGAAAAGCTTTCTGTCTGTGCTTAGCTAAAAATTGCTTAGGTCTGTTAATGTGGGACAATAGCCCCAGTGACTATTTTTTTTTTTTTTTTGAGACTGTCACCCAGGCTGGAGTGCGGTGGCACAGCAAGCAGCTTCAAGCTCCTGAGTTAAATAATTCTCATGTCTCAGCCTTCAGGAGTGCACTGCCATGCCTGGCTAATTTTTTTTTATTTTTAATTTCTTATAGCGATGGGGGGTGGGGGGTCTCACTCTGTTGCCCAGGCTAGTATTGAACTCCTGGCCTTAGGAGATCTTCCTTCGTTGGCCTCTCAAAGTGCTGGGGTTATAGGCTCAGTGAGCCAACACCATTGACCTATTGATTCTTTTTTCTGAGTTCTGGACTATTGATGTTTTTAACAAGGATGATTCTAGATGTTAGCTTTTTTTTTTTTTTTTTCTCTTAGGGAAAATTGAAAATGGTTATGAAGGGAACTTGATCCATTACTGTGTCTAAGAAAAGACTAACTCAGAAGGGCAACTCCAGGGAGACACCGATGTTTATTGTAATTACTGGGCCTTCCTGTCCTGGGAGGCATGGTAGGAGCTTAAAACAACTCACTTGGCAGCTGGTGCTGCCCCTGCCCCCAGAGACTTTATCAAGCTAAGAATGTCATGGCAATGGTTGTGCCAGTTTCTCAGTTGTCTGTCTCCTTTTTAGCCTGAAAGAATAAACCCAGAGCTCAATCAGAAGGGATACAGTGTGAAGTCGGACATTTGGAGTCTGGGCATCACAATGGTAGCGTATGACACTCGTCACGGACTATGAGGTTATGGGCCTGAAGCTGCAGTGGGGTGGACGTGGGACCAAGAAGCAAATGCCCCAAGGTGCTGGGTTGGGGTATCCTTTCCTGCCAAGATGGCAGGAGATTTTGAGTGATAATTTTGTGCAGTGTGGTCTAGTAGAAACCCTGAACTGGGACTGGGAAAGTCAGTTTTTCTCTTTATTCCACTTTTGGTTAGTTGTATGCCCTTGACTCACGACTGTGGTTACACAGACTCTCTTTCTTACAGCGAGAGGATCCGAATAGACTATAGTTTACCATTAAATTATTCTAGCCAAGGCAAGAAGCTTAAGCTACACAAAGAGCTCTGATGTGTGTGGCGCCTGGCAGGGCTGTGTTATCCAGGACACAGGCTGTGCTTCCCACGATATTTTTATCGCAGAGGTCTTAGCTGTTGACGTCAGGTATACCCTAAAGACGTGAGGACAAACAAGGCGATTTCCTTAGGCACAGCTCTGAAGTTATGTGATCAGCACTTTGTGTATAACTTTGGTGATCACCAAGGGCTGGAGTTACCCACTGTGGTCCTGGCTCCCTCCCAGCCACAGCAGCTGATTAAATCCCGTGAGTTATTTCATGTCCCTGCCCAGAAAACACGTGATCCTGTGACAGCCAAGTGGCCTTTACTCAAGTCCAAAAAAAGATCGGGCATTAGGTCCTAGGTTACTTACAGCCCCCCCTAAGCCATTTCACCAAAGGGCCTGCAGATGGCAGTAGATGTTCAGCTTCGTAAAGGTCTCAGGGTGAGAATTGCTTTTCAGGGCACACTTCAAAAAAATGTTTGCTTTGCATCTTGAAGTTTAATACTGTTGGCTTGCAAGTTTTATGAATTGCCGCGGTGGATTTTAGTCAGGGACCTAGTTTTAGATGGGTTTAAGTGGCTTTCTCGAGTAAGATCTTATTTGAAAATCCCCAGCTCTAGGAATTTGGGGGAAATTGCTAAAGAACAGATGGTGTATTTTTTTCCTCCCAAATTATACTTGAACATCACCTTTGTATTTATCTCTGCTGTTCTAGGATTGTTAAAAAAAAAACCCACCTGATTTCCTAAAACAGTCCTGCTTAACCTATTACTGTTTCTTTTCTCCCGTAGATTGAGCTGGCCATCCTCCGGTTTCCCTATGATTCGTGGGGAACTCCTTTTCAGCAGCTCAAACAGGTGGTGGAGGAGCCATCGCCGCAACTCCCGGCAGACAAGTTTTCTGCAGAGTTTGTTGACTTTACCTCACAGTGGTAAGAGAGCCTCATCTCCCAAGTGTCAGTGCTAAAGAAGGAGATGAGTCCTCATGAATTTCCTCCGTCAGGTTTAATCCATGATGCATGCGTTCATTCCGAAAGCATTTGTGGAATGTGCCCTATATGCTGGGGAAAGAAAGATGACTATATCACACTCCTTGCCCTCACTGAGCTCAAAGTCAAGTAAGGAAGCCTCGTAAATCAGTAATTATAAGGCGGCAAGTCTGGTGATAGAGATACCCCTAGGGAATTTGGGGAACCCAGAGGAAAGGCATCAGGATAGATCCAGTTATTTCATTTGGTTTATTTTAAAAAGTTTAAAGTTTGACTTGCTATGTGGAAAGATTGGAAAAACAATTGTCACTAAAGAACACTGCTTCTACTGCTTGGTGAAGAGAAGGATGTAGGTAAGTCCTGGGCTAAGACCGTAAGAAATATTTTTCAAGCAAAGAAGAAGTAGGGGAGGAAAGGTATTCCAAACAGAAAGAACATTGCATATAAGTGTCACAAAAGCAAGAAGCTCCCTTATACAAGCTCTGAGCAATTTGCGGTTGATTAGAGCATGAAGAGAAATCTGATAGGCTCTATTAGAGGTGTAGAGATAGGGAGTGCAGGCAGAGAACTACTTTGGGTGAGAAGACGGTGGGTAGTGGGAGAGTGTTACTTAGATATCTCAAAGTCCTATAGGAACATGGCTTCTATTACAGACTGGCTAACGGTGGATGGACTTGTCCATGAGGATAGAGTAGACCATGTTGGAGCTCTACGAAAGGAATCTGAACAAAGTTAGGGTAGAAAGCAGAAAAGAACCACACTAATGCAGCCAACTTTATATTTCATGGAAATTGCCAGCGCAATCCAGAAAAGTGAGAGAGGGAGAAGTGTCCTCCAGACAATTGAGTGATTTGTGTCTGCAGAGCGTCCGTGATGTCCAGCATAACTTGATAGTGAGGAGCACGGCCTGTGTTGCTGGACACAGGATGCGAAAAGTTAAACACAGGATGGAGCAAGTTAGTTTATTTGGGCATCCTGGGAGGAAAGGGGGGTGGTCAGAGATGGTGGCACAGAGGTATCATTCCCCCTTAGGATGAACCCTTGGAAACAGGCATTTCTGACCACTCGCTGCTGAGAAAGGATCAGGAGCTCTTGAGGGCACTGGAGGGATAGAGGAAGCTTCCATGGCACCTGCCTCAGGCATCGTTCCTTGGTCTCCATGCTTCTTGGAAGAAGGGCTCTGAGGACAGCTTTTATGAGGAGACCTGATGAGACACAGCAGCTATCCATTGCTTGTGAAACGAAGCCCTCTTGGACTTTTCATGAGCCCTCAACCCCTCCTCACCGCTGGTGCTTTTACCTAGTGATAGGTGAGGAGGGTGTACAGTTGTTTGTTCTTGTTTGGGGCTAAATGCCCAGAGAGGGGCTGGAATGCTGAGCCCTGGGCTGATATGTCACTGGGCATCTCCTACATCAGGGCCACCAAGATGTGTCCTCCTGCCTGTGTTCCTCTAGGGAGTCTCAGGGTGCTGCTTGCTGTCCATCTGCCCGGTGGAAATGGGTTCACGATTTCACTTACTGGGCTCAAACTTGTTTTTTGTTGTTACTGTTTTGTTTTTATTTTTTTGCTTTTGCCTTATCCTCAAAGGTTTAAAGGGCGTGTAGAAAAAAAGATGGGTCATTTTGGATGATGTAGAACAGTCGTTCTCAAGGCAGGTGGTCATGGCAAAGGATCTTATCTTGGGAAGTCTCTTCAGACACTCTTCTTTGTCCCCTGTCTTCCACTTGTCCCCTTACGTGCTACCCCCACCCCGATTCTGGGCACTTGAGGAAACTTTGGTAAAGAGAAAGAGGCTGGTGTCAAAAGTTTGAGAAAGCTGAGTCTCCTGTTGCAAATCACCCTTGGAATCCAGTGGTTCTCAACTCTGGCTGCTCATTTATAAAACCCTAGCAAGCTTTCAGAATGACTCAGAACTTCTCATGTCATTGTGAGGAGGGACCTAAATATTAATATTTTTCAAATGTTCTCAAGTCATTCTAACATATGGCTAGAGTGAGAAGCCCTGTTTTAGGAATGAGATCTGTGCATCTGCCATCCACTGCTTTGGGTTCAGAGGCATCTTACCTTCTGTAATTTATTGTAAAAAATAATTCAGTTACTGTTTTTTTCACCAGAGTTTGGTTTTTTCTTTGTTTGTTTTTTCTGTTTTTTCTGAGGTTTTTTTTTTTTGTTTGTTTATTTGTTTGTTTGTTCGAGATAGAGCCTCACTTCATCACCCTGGCTAGAGTACCATGGCATCAGCCTAGCTCGCAGCAACCTTAACCTCCTGGCCAAACAGTCCTCCTGCCTCAGCCTCCCAAGTAGTTGGGACTATAAGTGGTCAACACAGTGTCCTGCTAGTTTTTCTGGTTTTGGTGGAGACGGGGTCTTGCTGTTGCTTAGTCAGGCTGGTCTTGAACTCTTGCACTTAAACAATCCTACTACTTCCCAGACTGCCAGAATTTCAGGCACCAGCCACTGTGCCTGGCCCCACCAGAGTATTTTTTTTTTCTTACTTGGAGTTTCTCCTAAAGACTCAGAACATTAAAACTTTTACAGAGATTTAAAAAATGAAAATCTCGAGAACTAAGTATTTCTATTTTAAGGTCTGCCACAAACATAGAATTTCCAGAGACCCGTGTGTTGTTGCTCTTTATACAGAGTGTCCATAAAGTTCGTGTGCAATCTAAAATAGTTGTGTATTTTACACAAATATGGATACCCTGTACAGTGACCACACTGTGCCCACTCCACCTCTCCCATATGCCCAGCATGTCTACATTCCACTCCACTTCTCCCATAATGCCCAGCATGTCTACATCCCACTCCACTTCTCCCATAATGCCCAGCATGTCTACATCCCACTCCACTTCTCCCA